TCTAACCTATTATGACTACATATACACTCAATCAACTAAGTGTAATACACGATTGTTGAATCTATGAAGTTTTTATCATGGTTAAGCCTATTATGTTTATTAAAATGAGAGCTTAACTCGTGTAGGCACTCCAAACATTTAAAATAACAACATTTTATCTATTAAAATGTTCAAATAAAAGTGATAACAAAATGAATCGTCTAATTTTAGTATTCTTTAGATTGGCGCCCATACATAAAACTAACTATTTAAAATTGATTGCGCCCCATAAAATTTTTATCAAATTTTTACACCCTTAATGTAGTATAGCGAGTTATTAGAAGCTATCTTTGAAGATAATGTTTTTTGACTTTTTTAGAGTCAATTGGTGCCATAAAACTCGTGGTCGAAAGTTAGTGCGGATTTTGTGAAAGCTAAAGACTTTTCGAGGATTATAAAGAGAGTTGACACACACTTCTTTCTACAGTGCAAGTCGTGTCATAAAGAGCATAATCTCTTTGCGAACACCTTCTTTTGTTATGAAGAATGAAGAATACGACTTGTAACATCAGTTCAAAAGTTAGCAATTTTTTATTTTAAGGAGAGAACAGTATTATGTATGATGACTGTAACTCAAATTAAAAGAATTGTTACAGTGACCATTTAGAATAATTAGATCCGACTTTAAACTCATTATTATATCATGAGTGAAAAATTAGGATTCCGTAGTAAGTTGTATAAATAGCTAAATCTTTTTTAGAAGTTGTCGAAAGTACAACCAAATAAGACTTCTTTTTGATAATTTTATGAAGAGTAATTAGATTAACAATTACACTAACAACTTTGGGAACAAAGTTGATAGATTATGGGTTTTTGGAATGACAGAGCAGGACACCAGTAAAGTTAAGATATTTTTGTAGAGAAACGAGACAAATACACTTTGCTACTACTATTGTTTAAACATGCGGATACGCAAAATGTCATCGTATCAGATGGATGGAAAGCAAATCATAGTCTAAACTCCTAGATTTATCGCCATAATGTAGTAAACCATAATGATAATTAATAGACCCAATAACTGGATATGATACTTAGCTTATTGGGTATATATGAAGCCATACTAAGCTTAAAATAATTAAAAATAAAAGAGTTGTTTCTATTTCTTACTTATAAAATCGTTTCCGTTTTTTTTGTTTTTTTATCAAGATAAAGGATCGAAGTACAAAGAATTTATGAAGTTTTTAGGTAAGAATTTTTAATAAATTTTATTGATTTATTTTTTACTATAATAATTTATGGGGATTCAATTTAATTGACGGATTAAAAATAAAAATAGAGCGCTTATCAAAACAGTGCACTCTTTTTTTCAATATTTAATTTTTTTGTGCTTTATTCTAGCTTCCCAAAATCCGTTACCAATTAATTTTATCACAAAAGTTTAAAAGAGTTATTATACACACTAACCATCATAAAATTATCGGTACCGTTTCGATAAGCGCACCAAATTTTATATATAAAACTTTTTCAGTAAAAATTTAAAACATTAAAAATATTTATTAATTACTGTTTTTTATTATTTTTAAAAATTTTTCAAAAGATTCTTCTTTAAATTGATAACAGAAACAGAAAAAGCTCAAATGACTTTGTAACATTTTAAAGGTAGTTCCCCTCTTATTCTTTATTATCTTCAATTTTGCTTGACCCGAATACACTCAATTAATTGAGTATGGCAACGAGTATTGGGGTCAACAAAATTTTCAGAATGATTAACGACCTTATGGTCATTAATCACAGTACCTAGTCCGGAATAAGCTTTCCAGCCATCACCGTGGATAATACTACTCTTATCCATGTTCAAGTAGGAGAGGAAGCAGAGAATCACGCTCTCTCTTTTCCACAACAAATATTTTGACCTTCCTGGATCCTTCTTCAGCCATGCCAAAAACCCATGGTCCATTGACACGTTCACTATAATTATTTTTACATCGAGCATCATCAAGACTCTCCATAAAGTCATCAAGAAGCAATCTGCCACGGTTGTACTTTCGACGATATCTAAACAGAGATTCGTCGATTTGTACAACTTTGTCTTCTCTTCCTAGTTTTCCACTCATGATATAATCATGAGTTTCTAACCTTAATATGTTTGTCCAATTGATAACGGCTTCACTACCTTTAATTTGAGTTGCAGACATGATGTATTTTACCGTCCTACCCTCAAAATATAGGAAGATCAGCTTTATCAATGATTAGACAGGTGTAGCAAGTCGTGTTCTCCCTTCTTCATAATAAAAAAAGGTATTTTCGAAGAGCGTATATTCTCTTCGACACGACTCGCATCGGAGAAAGAGTGCACCTGCTCTACTCTCTTTCTTGACCTTACAGAGAGTCTGTTGCTGTTGCAAAACTTACAAAGTCTTTCCACCATGGGTTTTAGGCAGCCACTTTCCTCCAGGAAGATCAAAAAAGATTCTTCCTCCCCCAAAATCCACAGCAATGTTTCATAAATTATAAGGGTTATATATTTTAAAAATTTTGTTAAAAAATTTTATTAAAATTTATATATATATAAAATTTGGGGCGTCAATCCGATCATGGGGCACCAATCCGATCGTGGGGCGCTAAAAATTTTTTAGGGCGCCAATCGAAACAATACCAAGTTATCAATAAAAAGGCTTTCTTGGGTACAATTTCAATAATCTCTAAAAAACACATCTATATTTAAAACTTTTTCCAAACTCCTTATTTTTCACATATGATATGATCATGTTCTTTTAATTAGATATATATAGTTCAGTTAGTCACAATATTTGTTTTTTAATTAGAGTTACGATTTTCATATACGATACTATGTATTTTCAAAATAAATGAAGACATGTTTATTAATTTTAAGACTGTGTAATAAGGTATATCTTTTCTTCTTTGTAATAAAAGAAAGTATTCGTAAAAAACACTACTTTTTATAAAACGACTTGTACTTGAGAAAGAAGCGAGTGAAGATTATTTTTAGTCTTAACGGAGAGTCTTTGACCGACACAAAATCTACACTTTCTTTCTCCCACGAGTTTTATGATTACGATTGACTAAAGAAAGTTAAGAATGTATTATTCTTCATATTTGCTTCTATAATTTTACGATACTACATTAAGTGTTTTAAAATGTTTTAAAATTATTATTTTTTTATTTAATAATAAGTTTTAAGTGCCATCTAATTTTATTAGTTACTTTTTTCTTTAAAGCGTTAATCAAAAGAATGCCCTAACATTAGTATAAACATTTGCTATGTAAATAATTCTTTTAATTTAAAAAACTTTTTCTGTTTCATAACAATATCTAAACAATAATAGAATAATTTTATACTATGATCTCTTATTTATAACCTGTTAAAAACAATCTTCGAAAATTAAAAATTAGGATAATTTTTTCTTTAATAATCAGAATATTTTGTTTACAATAATCTTTAAATTTCATAATAAATTAAATTGATATTCAATTTTTATTTAAACTTTTTACTTGATTTATATATTTTATTGTTAATTATTTAGAACTTAAAATGATTAATTGATTTATTAAAATATTAACAAATTGATAAAGTTACACAAAAACATATATTTATCGTGTTTATTTCAAAAATAAAGAAAAACACATCATATTCTTAATTATCATTTTCACACACTGAATACATTTATTTTATAAAATAAAAAAATATAAAGACATCAAATTGATATTTATAATTTTTTTATCCGCTTTTTATTATATCAATAACTATTAAAAAATAAGTTTAAATTTATGTCTATTTTAAGTGTAATTTATTGATATGTGTCATTTTTTTATAAAATTTTTATTAAAAAATTATCTTTTATTATCCTTATTAGATATAAAATTTTTATTAAATACTTGTTTATTATTTAAGCTTATTTACTTTTCAATATTTTTTTAATAATCCCCTAAAATGATTTGGTATTTATTTAATTTAAATATTTTAAGTACAGACGAATATACAACAGATACATTCGCAACTCCAATTGATGTTGAAACTAAAGAAGAAAACATAACAACAAAAGATGTCTTTAAAGATAATGACTCCGATGTTTTATCTCAAAGTACATCTGAAAACGATGAAGGAATTTCTAATAAAAGAAAATTTACTTTTGTAGATGAAGATCAATCTTCTGAAAGTTATAAGTATGCTAAATCATTAAAAAATTTACCTTTTAAAAAAAGATATCTAAAATTACAAAAAAATACAGATTTAAATGAAAATAGACATTTTAATGATTATTCTATAGAAAAACCTTCTTTTTTTAAAGGAATTAAAATGGAAGATATAAAGACTTTATCTGACTGTATTTTTAAATTAACTAGTGATGAATATGATATAAATGATTGGAATGTTATTTACAAGATTATTTATGGAGAAGAAAAGAATATTAGTTTATTACCAAGTAAAGAATATTCGTGTATTTTTAAAGTTAGTTATTACGCACATAACTTTTATAAGAATACAATGAAAAATTTAAATCCATTTTTAATTTCAAATAAAAGTCAAGAAATGAATTTTTATGAATGTTCCTTATTTAAATTAATCAGAGCAATTATAGATAACTTTAGTTTAGATAGTATTGAATATAATTTAAACAACTTTAACTGTTTTATTTACAGTTTAAATAATTTGATGAGATTTACAGTTTTTTATAATCAGCTTAAACAATTATTATATTCTTTTAACAACAATGAAAAGAATATAAAAATTAAATATAAAAATTTAGTAGGATTATTTAAAATGGAAATAGCTGATTTAAAAAATTCAATAGATATGTTTAAAGAAAATTATTTTAATAAAAAAGAGAAAGCAACATCTTCTCTTATTAATTACAATGATATTTATAAAATAACTATTAAGAACAATTTTTGTTCCATAGAAGAAGCTAAAAATAATTTAGAAGAACTTAAAACTACTTA